TGATGTGTATTGAAGTATAAATGACTGTATTTTCTGGTGGACTATGTGTTTGTTCATTATAACATGCTAAATTCTGATACAGTTGATGCATTTGTCATTTATTGTCCACTTGAGAATCATTTTTTGTTGTTCTTTCCCTTTTTTAGTTTTTGTATCTTGACATTCCTTTCTTGCTACAGATAACCATCAAACAGAGCTGATGTTTGCTAGGAGGTGTGTTTTATTTTATTTGTTTTTGCAAGTTCCATGTAACTACAAAACAAAACACAGATAAATATATCAACATGTAAAAGATTAGAATGGAATCTGCATACCTTAGGTGTCAAGTCCAAGTATATAGAACCTTAGCTTCTCCATGTCTTGGTATTTTTCAAGCTTGCTCCAGATTTTGAATTTGTAAATCTTTGAGCGGATACCATCGATAAGTAGTGAGAATGCAGGGTAGTTCTCATCTCGCATTGTAGCTAGTTCCTTTGCTGACATTCCCACTATTTCCTGTGCAGCCTCTTGAAATGCAATGGCCCACACATGACTGCTATCCTCGATGCACATCTTTAGAGCATACTTGAACTCCATGTTGGCAGACTCAATATTGCAATAACTGCAGAACCAACCATCTGCTGTTCGGGTAGTTTTTTTGCCACATTGCCGTGCATTCACGACATTGATGCATGCATTATAGTAAAACTCATCTGTCTTCATTTCCTTCACAGTAGCTATCACTCTATAGATAGGGGAACTCTCTAACACCTTTAACTGCATGTTTGATATCTCTGATAAAGTAGTGGTGCAGCTAACAGTCTGTCTGGATGATGAAGTGCTCAAATGTATGAAGTTAGTGACATTGTAGTACAATGTCATCCATTCTCTCAAATCAGCCACTGCTTCCATTTCCGGTTCAATAAGAATGGTGCTCACACCAATTGCTGAAAGTGATTTACCATTGTAGTCCGATACCTTTCCACCCTTGACACATATTATTGGCTGAACTCCACTGTCTATCCGCTCCTGTATATATGAGCCCTCTTCTTCTGCTTTTAAATCCCAGAGACATAGATCAACACTGTGGCCTGAATCATCACCTAGACACAATGTTCTCTTCTTCACAAAAGTTCCACTGTCACGAGATGTTACTGTAATTGTACCGATCCATATTACAATACCAACCACATCGACAAAAGAGTCCCTTTCCTTCTGACACGCACTTAATATGCTTGTTTTTGCCAAGACAATTCTTGGGAACGTTGCATCCTCATCCAAAGCTGTAAACTCCATACCTTTGTTAGCCTGAATCTCCCATGTCACTTCAAATGGTGTGTATGCCTGATTGGAACGTCGTATTCCACCACTACCAGAAAATGAATACACTATACCCTGTACAATCTTATCTGACAAAACCAAGGCACAATCGTCGGAGCCAATAATTCTAATCTCTGTTCCCTGGACATCGACAACGTCAAATGACATTATGCATCCAGATCTTTTCGTGTTGAAATGTATCAACTTGTTCTTGTGTGTGACTCTTGCACGGAAGGACCACCTGTAAGAACGGTCACTGATTTCTTTGATGAACACCTCTTTTATGACGGCCTTTTTTGAGCTCTCTCCCTGTATCAAAGGGAACAAATTGAATAAACTGGTTTAGTCGTGAAATACCTTTTCCATGGACTCCTGGGCTCGTTTTTGTCCCTGGCAAGTTCAATTGTAGCAGTTATTTTAGAATTAAAACCAAAGAAAGGATTTACCACTTTCATATCTTGAAGGATAGGGTTTGAGCGTGTGCGCTTCCATACTCCACCATCCAGGAAGCATGCATCCGAAACAATCAATGACCTACAGAATATTTTGGTGTTTAAAATGCTCTGTCAAAAGGAAAATACACTTACTGTTTTCCATTTGTCTCAAGGAACGCGTAGTCTAGGAATTTTACAAACGAATTCAGACGGGCACCACATGAATCTATTAAACTTGAAACTCGGTGTGATGCAATTGCCTCGAGTATTTCTCTGTCATCCGTGACAGAGAACTTCTTGGTCAGAGCACCAGGCTTTGAATCTATATTCGTCACACGCAACACGAGTTCCTCTTTCGAATTTTCTTTGACCCTTCTGATCCCATCATCTGTGCACTTCATGATTGTTCACGATAGGGTTTCTCTGTGATATCTGCTATATAATGTTCACATTTATCAAACCGTTGGCAACGTTGTTATCACTGCCTTGATGCATATGCATTGGTTGAAATAATAAAATTTATTCTTGTATTAGTGGGGAAAAAAGATTACGACTTTATCTTCCTCCTCCCTCTCCAGAAGAGTTAGTGGCAAAAGTAGTTTATCTTCTCGAGAAACTTAAGTTTTTGTTCATTTTTAAAAAAAAAAATCTGATTCTACACTACCGGCCAAAAGCCCCTTCCACGATCTACCGATCTTCATGTTTAATAACAACTGTGGCAATACACGGCTCCTCTTTCCCACCAGCAAGTGCTCTAGAAAACTTAAATGAATCATGGCCTTGTCGATTCATCCCAAGCCACCTGCAGAAGCAGAGACATAAACGTTCTGTGAAGGTTTTGTAAACTTCTCAAAGTGGTTCGCCCATAATGGATCCCAGGCGCAGCGCGTCACATCCAAGAAGGTAGTCATAACACGCAAGGAATCTTTGCTTTACTATTCTGATTCTGCCGGCGGCAAAAGGATGAATCGCTGATGATGGAGTTCCATGACTTGAAAATCACAGAGAACCGACACAGTATGGTCATATCTAGTCACAGGCGTTTTTCTAGGTCTTTCCCTTTTGTTACCAAGGTTATAAGGACCAAAGAGGATTACAACGCCCACGGAAACGGATTGCGTCCAGATAAGCACAGAATTGTGTCTGATGCATCTTCCAACACTCGAATTCCAGCTACACTTGCTGGTTATGAACGCAACTACTGAACACCATTTTGATCCATAGCGAAACAGTTTGATCTTCGTTTATTTGTACTTGATGCATTCTTAAGCTTTTATATGGCAAGTGTGTGCGAAGGGAAACAACTCCCAGGAAAAACACTTTCCTTTTCTTTCTTTTTTTATCTGATTCTTTGTCTGAAAATCAGACGAATCCAACCAGCTCCAACCAGCTGCTCAAAGCATGCGATCCAATAAGCCAGACAGTAGGGCATGCATGTGAGATGACCTGTGTAATCTCCATTTCCCGGTGCTTGTCTTGCACGGTTAAGGAAACCTTTTCAAAAATCTAAAGGCTGAAGATAACAGGTGTTAGAACCCAGCGACAAGTAAAAGATCCACACCTGATTCCGATGTAACTCTCGAACCACCCTCGTCCTACCCCAGCCGTTAAGCTGGAAGAGACAAACGGTACGTGAAAATTCAGTCGGGCATCATAAAGCAAGTCTACTCCACTACCCTGGTACCCCGAGTCAAATGCTCGACCTGTAGCAGCACCAGACATAAACAATCATGCAAAATTGCTGTTGCTAACTATATGGCTTGTTGTGGACGGTAGTCCTTGTACTGCTGCACCTCTTCCGCTCTCATCCATGTACACTGCTTGAACTGTGTCAATTATCTCGCATTTTCTTCCATACTGTATCGCTCTTCCTCCTGGTTTCCTCATGGTTTCTAGTGTATGACTGTGATAATGGTCTTGTGCTGGATGATTTTTTTGCACAAAGAATGCTTGTTTCCATGTCTTGTATGCTAGAAGTTGATGTTGTGTAATCCAGAAACACAAAAGTCAAGTGTAAGCCTTTTTTTATGCAGGTTCCAAATGATTGTAATTCAGCAGAGCAATATTTCTATCTACCAAGTAGAGTAATGGGAACTTTTGCAAACCATCATTGAAGAGCTGTAATATTTAAAAATTACGGTGCAAAAGCCAGTGTTACTTTGTCAAAGCTAAGAAATTGGTTCCCTTTCAACAAAGTTTGCTGCTGGGTTTTGCCTTTAAAGCAGAAGCTGGTGTGCCAAATCCAAACCCTTCACACTCACCTGAGGAGAGGAACTATGTCATGTGGTCTGTTACACAGGTGGAGCTCGTCCATACGTACATGGACTTCCTCTTCCATGGGGGCTGCTATCTGGTTTGGCTGGATGAGCTGTATTATTTGGATTTATTTAGTTTATTTTCTGACAATTTGGAATTTGTTTTATACCATCATTCTAATTAATGATGAGAGGACCATAGTATAGATTAAAACTTTTTTTCTCAATCTATTTTTTAATATCTGTAAGACACAATGTTTTTCCTTTTTCTCAATCTCATTTTAATATTTGTCATGCTCATTGAATAGCCAACCGCTTGATAAGACTTATCATTCCGTTCAGCTGTTGAATCTGTAATAATAACAAATACAGCTCAAAAAATACAAAATCATCTGAGAGGGATTAGAGGAAGATCAAGTACATTCTTTTGGGTTTTCAGCAACTGCCATGTTTAGATGTGCCTCCGCTCTGAAATGGAAATTTAAAGTCAGTAATAGATACAATTCATACATACTTCAGTGATAGTTCCCTCAATGTAGCTAGTTTAGGGAAGTTCTGTATTGGCTGAGCATCTTTCAATGTGGAGGTGATCTCAGTGTCTGTTTTTTTTCTAAATAGATACTCTGCCATTTGTAATTTTTCATTCTGGAAATCATCAGATTTTGAGTTAGCTTAAATTTAAGTTATGTTTCTCACAAATTTACACCAAATACCTTATCTATTTCATTAGCAAAGTGAGATTCCGATCCCTTCTTTGCTTTTCTTTGAAAATGTTCTGTGTCCTCGCAATCTAAGGACAATGATTAGCATTGTGAATATATTTTAGCAAAGAAACATCATTCTTGTGTTAAAAGGTTCTACCGTGAAGATGTTCTATTTGTTGTTCATTCTGAAACTGGTATAAAGTTTTTTCTTTATGCATCATGTTTTTTTTCTCGGTAGCAAAAGCAACATCAGCAACTGGTCTATCGGTCTGCTTTTTCTGAAAGTCCTTCCTGTATAGAAAAAGAACTTAATAAAAAGGTATAAACAAGCAAGCCAACCATAATCTTTTCTGCATGATTTGCAGTTGATACTCTAATTGTTGAACAATAGGTGTTCTTTCAAATCCTTGTTTATCATGAGTGGGCTCCACAAAGTTTGCTTCCAAAACTCCTAAATAACCTTAAAGAATGTATCAAAGACTAATAGTAGAATAGTAAAACTTGCCATAGACACCTCACCCTTGTTTTCGTGATGAATTCCATATTTTCCAAAAGGGCTGTCATATATTAAATGAGAAAAATGATCTTTTTAAATGATTGGTTACCTTAATAAGTCGGTTTTTGTGGTAGACATTAAATCCTTGTATATCTATTTGTTGTGTGTACCAAAAGTGTACTTTTGCAGACATCTACATTCAAAGTTGAATAAATATCAAAGAAAATTTTAATAATGGGGACAACTACTTTTAAATCATTTTGAAACTTGAAATTAAATTGCTCTATATGCATTGCATCACTCCTTATGTCAGAGTGTTCAACTTCTTGATTTCGAAGAGTGATCTTGAAGTTTTCTGGTAAATGCAAATACAACATTGAAATATATACCTGCAAACCTGAGTGGATGAGAAAGTGTATTTTAAATTTTTTCTTACCCGTAGAGAACTTTTGTACAGGAAAAAGTGTTTAATACTGGAATATTTGTTTGCCATTTCACATTGTATGTCATGTTGACCGTTTCTAATTCGGATATCCTTGATGGGTGTCAGAAAAGTAAACTTTTAAAATATAAAACATACATGAGGATCAGATTTGAAGTCTAGTTCAATTTGTTGCTCGTCATTCTCCCAAAGATTATAGATAATTATTCTTGTCCCTTGGTCATTAATTTTCTTGAACTTGAATAGTAGAGACACATAACTTAAGATTATTGATCTAGAGTACTTACTTGGCTATGAATAGATTCTTCATTTTGATAAGGACTCCATTTAGTGATTACGTCCATATGATTTTCCAATCTTGATGTGTACATTTATGGATCTCTTTTAACTCAAGCCCATATCCTTCATAATTCAGCTGCAAATATGAACAATGTGATGAATACACATCTAAGAGAATTTATCCACTCAAAACCATTGGAACTATAATATCTTGCTGCACTGTATCACGGAGAAAGCTATAAGAGAGTAATCCCACACTTTGAATAAATCTGTACACAATGTTAAATAAAGTGGCGAAAAATATGGCAGTCAACTCTTATACCTGTCACCTACTGCAGTGTTTGATTTTGAAAATACAATGACATCTGCACCAAGGCGCGTTGTACTTGTCTTGAAACCATTTCCATTTGGTAGTATAAATAATATTAAAAAATGTAAAAAAAAAGATGGCACTTACATTGTCCAATTGTTCTACTGGCTGTGTCATTTACAGAATACCCAAAGGACATACATTGTCGCAAATGATCAAGAGTCATTCCACCACCATTGTCTAAATTAACAAATACAATGTTACTTGCATAAAGAAAGAAAAAAGGAAAAAAAATGTCTTACAAACCTTCAAACAGAAGCATTGGCGTGCCATTAACTGGATTCTTGAGAACATCTATGTTGGCAAATGTCACTCCATTTGTTGTCTGGTCGAGTGCATTATCAAGCAGCTCTGCTATTGCTGCAAAAAGTGTAAGATCATGCATTAGAAAGAAAAGAGGAACAGTGATATGCCTATTTGAATTACCACCAAAAGCCCACTTGTGGCTTCTTGCGTTAGAATGAAGGAATTTGGGATGCATTCGTATGTGGTCCATTCCAGCTACAAAACCACGTAATGAGTTACTTCCTTAAAAAGCAGTCATAATGAGCAAGGACCTGGCATTGTTTGTGCGTTAGAACCATCGTAATTTCCTGCTTTCCAAAACTGGGAACATTGTCAAAAAGAATGTGCAGCCAGAAACCTCACTTAGGCTTTCAACTGCCTAGGTAAAATGGAAATCTTATTTTCTTAAGAGCCAATCATGCTGACTTTTGATGGGCATCTGCAGTGGCTTTTTGAGCAGTGGGAGTTGGAAGTGAAGGGAATTATATGCTGGCTGGGTGAGTTCTACCTTTTCAAAGTCAGTTGATAAAATTATAAACTACAAATTAACTTTATAAACGATAGATTTCTACTTCTTCCGTTATGTTTTCAGAGGTTTTTACATGCAAATGAAAGACTGCTAGGTTGCTATGCTAGAGTGGATTGCCAGGTGCGGTCAGGCAAGAGAAACAGGTCTTGTCCCCACATTCACGTGCAACATTCCTATTTTTTCTTTCCTCTGCTACCTGACTGCTTCTCTGTTTTGGGCTGCTCCCAGATTCGGGTCGGAGCGATCGAGCAAAATGGATCCGTTAGAGTTAATCAGAGCTTCACTTTTGACATCAAGGACAATTTTTGCAGCTTTGCAAGTTTTTTTCTACTGACGAGTTTGGGTGGTTGGGCAGAATGCAGTTCTGCTGTTACACATTGTTTCTAAGACACGTTTTGGAGGAGAAGACTCGCTTGGGATTTCTACGGAAGTTCGTGTTGTTGATCTTCTCGATAAAAAGGGAGGTCTGAGGAAGGTGTCTTTTCTCCTTGTGCCACCTTATTGCTCTGTTTCATTTCAGGTGGTCAAGATGGAAAAACCAAGTGGTATGATCTTTCTGGGAAGAGATTAATGCCGGGGAAGGTGATCAGTCTGTTTGCTTGACTTTTAAAAATGTTCGTTGTTGTCATGTATTTGCAGGTTTTAATGGACTTAGATGCAAGAATAGCTGAACCCGAGCATGATATCAGTGTTTTCTTGGGTACATGGAATGTAGGAAACACAAGACCGGTATGTCAGCTATAATTCTGGACCAATTTGCTGATCTTTGGCAGCTCAGGCTGTGGATTTGTCATCGTGGCTTACTACAAAGAGCGAGCATACTGAATTGCTCTACTTCTTCTTGGTACATGTCCATTTCATTTGAGGATTCAAAAAGTGCAGTGTCACCTCCTTTCCTCTGTTAAAAAATATAAATAAAATACAAGAGATCTTTTCCAGTGTTCATCAAGGGGAATTCGTTTTCATTTTGTCATCAAAAGAAAACTTAGTATCAAGAAGGTAAGTTAGGGCGAGTAAGTAATGGGCAGAGACTGACCACCACAATTCCTATAAGCCCATGATTGGAGTTTGTTAATGATATCAACATTGAAGCCACGTAACAAAGGTAGTGTGGGATTAAACTTGCAAGCTTGGTCCGAATTTGTTTTGAAGCAGGTTCATTCCAGTTCAAAACCAAGTCATCCACGTTTCATAGACATTCTAACCTTTGATGTCAATCTAATAGAAATTGGTTAACTTAAGTACAGAGTTTTCATTACCAGCGTAGAGTTGATAAACAAAGTTGTAAGGTTATGGTTTATATAACCATTTTATTTTGAGGAGCACTTGCATTTTT